CAACAACATACGTTGTTCCCTTTATCATCGGTATGTTACTTGCCCGAGATTTGATCGTCAGTATCTTCATACCTAGTTCAATCTCGTTACCGGCAAGTCTCTTTACTCGTTCCGTAATGCTTCATCCCGCAACTAACTCATTAGTCACATTGCTTGCAGGGCTTATAGGGATGAGCATTACCGAGAGGGCCCGGAGATACCTCTCCGATACACGGAGTGACAAATCCTAATATCAATCTATGCCAACCCAACGAACACCTTCGAAGACACCTATAGAGCATCTTTATAATCACCTAATTACGTTGTGACGTTTGATAGCACACAAGGTGTTCCTCCGGTATTCGGGAGTTGCATAATCTCATAGTTAGAGGAACATGTATAAGTCATGAAGAAAGCAATAGCAATAAAACTTATCGATCATTATGCTAAGCTAAAGGATGGGTCTTGTCCATCACATCATTCTCTAATGATGTGATCCCGTTCATCAAATGACAACACATGTCTATGGTCAGGAAACATAACCATCTTTGATTAACGAGCTAGTCAAGTAGAGGCATACTAGGGACACTTTGTTTTGTCTATGTATTCACACATGTAGCAAGTTTCCGGTTAATACAATTCTAGCATGAATAATAAACATTTATCATGATATAAGAAAATATAAATAACAACTTTATTATTGCCTCTAGGGCATATTTCCTTCATCTGCTAGCTTGAACTATCTATCTAGTTGTTTTAAATTTGCTTGTATGAACTATGGTATGTCTGAAGTGTCCTAGTAGTTTTAATGATCAACTGGATGGCGCGGACTAGATGTTTAAATCGAGTTAGAAGTCCGGCAAAGTTTACGGGATCTGTTCTGCCAAACCGTCCGTCGGATCGCACATTTTGTTTATGGGATACTGTAAACGACATTTGCAGGATGACGGTATACGGGATCTGCTAGAGATGCTCTAAGAATTGGATGGCTCTCTCCCGTATCATGTTCGCTTTTTGAAAAACTACATTTGAACAAGTCTGAGCTTACTGAATTCTAATAATCCCCACGGAATACAAATGAACTAATGACAATAGAGAGTTTGATATGTTGTGTTTTCAACAAAGGTGGCCTTCCGGACTTGAACTTTTCATCTAGATGGTACTAGAGCGGTTTTCACACGAGCACAGTGAAGGTGGCCTTGAACTTTACTCCTTGGTGTGCAAACTTCATGCAGTAGGTGCAAAATACTCTTCTTCTCTTTTTTTTTGCATGGAGGTGCAAAATACTCGGGTACAATCATTTGAACCCTTCCCGTTTGGCGTGTTTCGATCATACGTCTGTATCTTGCAATTTTGGTATCTTGGATCTCATGAGCGCTCTAGGAAACGGACGACAAAACTCAGTTGGGAAAAATTCGCTGGGTAAATGTGGCAATGATGTCAAAAAATGAGGGTGTAAATTGAGAATTTCCTCAAAAAAGGCAATTCCTGTCAATTTGGTGAATTTTGGGTGTCAAAAGAATTGAAATTAACCCTAACTCTTGCGCTTTTATATTCATGCGTTTTAGGAATCATGTGAATCACCCCTTTGTCTACCTCTTTTGTGCAACTACTTGAAAGAAAGTTGTGATGTGCCTCTTCTCCCACACTCACACACCATCTTCCCTTCCCTCGCGTCTTTTTTTATAAGCTCCCCTGCCTTCCATACGTCTCTGCCATCCGGCCCCGTCCACTCCACCAAACCACCGGATCACCCGAGCCCATGGCCGGCCCCTCACCGTCGCCGTCCGCCAGCAGCCGCCGCCTGTCGGAGCTCCTGGAGGAGGAGCAAGAGCCGTTCTCCCTTCACCTCTACCTCCTCGAGAAGGGCTGCTCCCCCACCACCCTGGACGCGGCCGGAGGCTGCGGCGTTGCCTCCTTATCTTGCTGGCCGAGGAGCAGAGGCACCTCCCCGGCGCCGAGGCGGGTGACGGCCAGCAAGAGAACGCCCGCCACCGCCAGCGGCCTCCTCTCCAAGTTCCTCCGCGGCTCGGCGGCGCCTGCGTCCACGAAAAGAAAGAAGAGGCTGCGGTCGGCCGCCATTGGCCCGTGCTCCGTCGAAGGCGAGAAGACGGCGAGCAAAAGAAAGAACGCCGTCGAGGCACACGGGGATGAAGCAGAGGACGACGTGGGAGGAAGCTACGACGACGACGACTCGTCGAAGCAGCTGAGCCCCGTGTCCGTCTTGGAGCGCCCGCCATTCGAGAAGCCACCGCGGGCGTACGCCGAGAGTAAGCAAGCACGCAGCCCCCATATCTCTTCATCCGCGCCATTGGTCGTCGATCATGGACTAAGCTCACGCAGCGATAGTTGCGACCATTGCAGAAGCCATCGTCGTCTTGAGGGAGCTCCTGGACGCGGCACGCAAGCCCGCATTGCTCCAGCGGAAAGTTGCCACAGAAAGCAGCAAGGCCGGCGATGTCCTCATGGAGACTTCAACAACGACGACGACGACGATGGCGCACCCCGCACCGGCGCCCACGAGGACCGACCGTGCTGCCAGCGCTGCTGCACATTTGGAGGAGATGTTTGAGGCCAGGGGGCACGACCTCGTACCGTTGGACATGCCCGGCGAGAGAGGGGATGCCCGGCTGGGGCGGTGGGACGTCGGCGCCGAGCTAGCGGTTGCGGTGCTGGAAGAGCTGACGGAGGAGGTGGTGGCGGAGCTGATGGGGATGGTCCACCATGATGATGCCAATGCCATCGACGTGAAGTAGTGTTGGTTGCTACCGAACTGCTGATGTTGTGGATATATTTGTCCTTGCATTTGCATGGGTTGATGCTGGTCTTCTGATTATGATGTTTAAGATTAGTACCCCCTCTAGTGTCAAAAAACGTCTTACATTATGGGACGGAGGGAGTACTTGCTAATATTGTTGTAAATAAAGATTTTCTAACCGGTTTTCAAGAGAGTTAACTCTATATGATTGAATGAAAAAAATAAGATATTGCTAATTTTTTGAAGATCACCATATGTTGACGCAGAAAACATCATACAATCATTAATTACAATTTTTTGTCACATATAGGATTGAACATTCATGGCAAGTTCAGACACCACAGGTGTATTTACCTCTTTAGCAATCTCATGGGACACTCTATTGCCAACGAGTTTCACCTTTTGCAATGGTACATTGGGGAATAAGGCGGCTCAAGACCCCCAAGTCTCTCTCTTCAAACCGACAAAAGTTGACCTGTCTAGGAAAAAACGGTCAGTCTCGATGATGATTGTCTTGTGCATGGCAATGACGGCATAAGGACTCGCTAAAGAGGTCTAAAGCACCGTTTCCTTGACACTTGAGCAAATGGGGTGGAATTCCCACGAAGATAACAAAACTTCTCCCTGGTGATCTCTAGCCACCGCACTAGTGCTTGCAAAATCTTCTTCCATCACGTAGCTAGCATCCACATTGATCTTGATGATTGCATCGTGTGCCACCACCCAACCTACACGAGGTAAATCAGACGGAGGGGTACCAACATAGTGGACAACACTTCTACCTTCATCGGTTCCGGAGAGACCGGGTCCTCCTAGCCTCCTAGGAGCTCTATAGTGAATGGCATCACAAATTGTCCAAAAATGAAGGATGCTCGTAACTAGCGAATGTTCGCCGGGGAGGGTGGCATTTGCGAACATTTTATGCGGCATTTTTAGTTGTGCGGAGATGACAACTTCTTCAGAGCGGCATATGACAGTTTCTTCACACAAGGCATTTTTTGTTTTAAAATTGCCGTCATCTTTCCTCACAAATAAAACTGTCATCAAATGTTGTTTGCTTGTCACCCCTCTCCCAGCGAACGTCAGCTGGGTAGCATCATCGTAAATTAATACTAGCAGAAGCCGCAATTGAAGCGTTGCCGTCACCAAAATTCCCGTTACCACAATACCACCCCAAAAAAAGTACTTGATATGCATTGTTTTCTTGAACACAATCTCAGATTCTTTGAGGCCCGGTCTCTTTCAACTTGGATCGATCACTAGCGCGCAACGTGCATGGCAGCCGCCAACTTGCGGTGTACGGCCGTGAGCACACGCTCCAACCTTTGGCTTAAAGGAAGCCACATACGGAGACACTGCTCTGCTCCACGAGAAGTCGCGCACGGGGTGTACGACGAGCTGGGCGCACCCGAGTAGCACTGCTCACCCGTTAATGCCCGGCCGCGATGTACCAACAGCAAGCAAGGAAACCAGACCAAACCCCTCCGTGCCATGCCGTTCCGTCGTCCTGTCTTCCACCAGTGAAGCGTCCTCTGTCGCTCGCTCTCCGCGATCAGGCCGGCCGGCCGGCCGTCGAGAGGGACGCCGGAGCTGCCTAACTAGCTCCGGTACGTGGCTTAGACCATTAGATGTTTCGTTAGATCATTGGACGTGCTCCCTTCCGCGCCACTTTGATCATTGGACGTGTTTCCCTTTCGCACCGCTTTGATGCTTTCCATCTCTTTCATGTGCCCGTTGATGGAAGGCTCCCATCATCAAACAATAATCCCCTGCTCCTTCTCACCTCCCTATTCCTCCTTCTCTCGTCTCCTAAATCATGTGTTTTCTTCTACGATGCAATCAAACAAACTCAAGCTCTATAAGATTCAGCAAATCACGTGTTTTTCCTGCTACTGCGAATCATAGAGGCCCGAACGTTCTAGTTCTAGATAAAAAAAAGCATTGCAAGAGCTCCTGACTGTAGTCAACAATGTCCTTCTATCACAGAATACCAACACACAACTTCACAACACACGACTGGCTTATCTTACATTACATATATATTAGCATAGCATTCCATTCGTCGATCCCCTAAGCATACGATCCTTCTAGTTCCGCTTTCGTACAAGTCTCGCGGAACATAATAAGCGCCACCGTGCAGCACAGCACGTAATGGCTTCATTACAATAGCTGCGTGGAGTTTTAGTTTTAGCTTGGTGGTGCAACACCCAATACATATAGCCTAGCAGGTCCGAAAGGATCACACGATCTACCGTTAGGGTTATTACTCGGCAGCAGCATCCGCTTCAACTGCCCCGTCTTCTGCCATGAGTGTCCTGTAAACCCTTCTAGAGCATACTGGTCCCAGCCTTCGGCTTTCCTCGCCTACGCGGTCCTCGCACATCAGGTCCTGCAGCAGAAGCTCCTTCTCGCGAACCTGTCGCATGCACAGGTTAGGACTTGAGAGCGCGCAAGGAGAAACACATCAAGCTATTGCAGTAGTTTAGAACGTGGTAAAATGGGCAGCACTCACAGTTTTAGTGGAATCCATATATACTTTCAGAAGGGATCTCATGGTACTGTACTTCTTCCATATCGCGAGGGCAAACCTTGGCTGGACCTTTGGGATGGCTATTAGAGCCTTCATCCTGCCATGGATAATTTATGTGAAAAGTTGGATAGGATTAAGGGAATGCAACTCTGATTTGAAAGCTGGAATTTAAAAATATTGTTCTACGCATGGATGCCTAGTTGGATGCTAAAAATGAATGACTTAACTAGAAACATTATAATATGGAATTATCATCAGCATGGCCAACAGTTTCATCTAAAGAGCAGTTGCGATATTACAATCCTGTTGTTCAGGTTTGGTTAAACAGCATGACCATTTATAAGGCGGTTTCTTTAGTATAACAGTTAGCATGAAAATCAAAATCAAGCCAGTCCAACCAAGAGGCGCAAGACTGGCTTACATGTACGAGTTGAAACCACCCCACCCACATATAGAATTTTGTTGTTGTTGTTTTCATTTCATAGTAATTTTGATGGGGAGAACTAGGCCATAATACTAATAGAGTTTAGAACTCTGGTACCGAGACAGACTAGGCTAGACAGCAGAGAAGGAGACTCGTTGGTGTAGGAACAAGCAACTCTGTTTTACTTATTACTCTACGACTCTAATGAAAATTCTGCAGAAGGAAAAATAAGGCAACAACCAAACTTAGTGCAGGTGGCCTTGCACAAAAAGAAGAATACTGGAATTGCACAGCTTACGGTATATGCAAGAACAGGAACAATTTCCAGTTTGGTAGAATAATCAGGAGGAGAAAACCAAACGGAGACCTGATTCAGTATATGTTCAACTTACCACGTGTCTTTCTTAGCCAGATCTTTATCAATGAAATTTTTAGGGACCACTGCACCATTAGCATGCACAGATAACCATGACAGTGGTTTCCTGCACAAGTCAGGGTAAACATTAACGGAACATGGAGCTGCTTCCAGATTCAGTAAGACAAAATGGGACAAAATACAAAATCATATCACTGAATATGTGCAACATTAATAATGATGGTCATTAAGGACCAAGCTTATCTCAGGTGGCAAATTCGCGTTGAGACCAACAAGCACACCTCCGGTCAAGGCTTTGCCTTCCACGGTGCGCTCATATTCAGTTGGGAAATAACCCCAGTGACACCAAAAATATAAATATCATTGAATAGAACTACATGACAACTATTTCATACCATATTAGGCATTAGGAGGTAGATACAACATAATTATACCTTGGGGTACCACAGCACTGAATACAAACTGGCTGCTACATGAAACATCACTGCCATAATGGAAGAGTAACAGAGGTCCAAGATAATGTGATTTTTGTCTTTCGGCAGAAAGTTTACAGTATTAGAGCTGTGATTTCAGTGTATATGGGAACCTTGACACATTTTCCCTTGGTTTGGTGAGTGTGAAAGACGACTGCAAGACTAATACAATACCCACTAGAAGAGTAACATGTGAACTGAATTCGATGCGCTGAAGTCAAATCAAGTATGTCCATCTAGCATAATATGCACACCAGCTGTATAAAAAAGGTGCTTATATCTATGTAATTCATACTCCCTCCGTCCAGATATAAAAGGCCACGTTGAAATTAGCCTAACTTTCACTAATAAAACGTAAGTCATACGACATTAAAATATTATATCAATGAATTCGTACTCGAAAGAACAATGATACTCCCTCTGTTCACAGTTATAAGATGTTTTGGACATTAAAAACGTTAGAACATCTTATAACGTTTTTCTGATTCGGATGTACATAGATGCATTTTAGTGTCCTTGTTCACTCATTCAGTTCGTATGTAGTCCATATTCAAATATCCAAAACATCTTATAACTGTGAACGGAGGGGGTATTATTTTTGTAGTACATATAACTCATATCTTATAAGTTGATTACTAAACTCATGGTCAAAATTGAGCTCGGATTTCTCGTGGGGGCTTTTGTTGTCACTGGGGGAGTATTTTTTGCTTCCTATAGCGATGATCATTGATCAATGTTATAGGCTACTGTTCAACTTCAGTCCGAATTCAGTATAATGACTACACAAAGCAATTAGCGTACAGTGGACTAGAACCAGAAAAAAAAAAGCACAGGCGACCATTGGTGAAGTAATTCTGATCTAACAAATCTAGCTTACCTGAATCTGCAATTTGCAAGACTAGATGTCAAGCCAACAACATGATCGGCTACTTCAGCTTCATCTGCACATTGCCTTGAGTGAACTTTAACATGGTGTGTTGCTAATTTGCATAAAACCTGAAAAAACAAATCCATTACACATTCTATAAAAGGATAGTTCAGGAAAATTTTGATAAGGTTGGAAACAGACCTCTTCCACTGGTGGGCGTTTCCAGCTATTAAAATTGGGTGCATTCCTATACTGAGCCCGCTCGCTAACACACGAGAAAAAAGAAAGGACATTTTAGCATACTTCAAATACAAAAGATGAATACATTTCCTATTACTTACAAGTTGTAACATTACAGAAAAAATAAAAATATTATCCAGAACTACCATACAGGTCAGATTTTCTCGCATAATGTTCCAGGCTTGAGTGTGTTTGTGTGTTGGTTCCAGCTTACACAATAAACAGGACATCACAATTAGGGATGTAAACAGTGTGCCATTTAAGCCTGTTTAAGCCCACTTATCGGTCTAACAGTTCAAGAAAGTTTTTTTCCCGGGAAAATGAACTATCAAGCTAACTAAATGGGATGTAACAGCAGTCGGAAACTCTGCACTGGACATTTAGGTGAACAACAACGAAGAGTAGCAAAAAATGGCATGCCAAAGCTATAGATAATGTTGTCGGCTACTTAGCATAGTTTAAAGAACAAAAGGGGCTTCAGAAACAGTGAACATAAGACATAAAGATAAATAGAAAACCGTAGAACAAGGTAATTCAGACTTTGTAGAACCAACCATTTATTTATGTAGTTCATCAATTTATTAGTGACAAAGCAAACAGTGAACGTTGGATAGCGATCTTGAACAAGGTGAACATGATCCCAGAAGGACCCACTGTTGATAAGATCACAGAATTCCTCAGCTTGAAGCACAAATAGAATATATGGCACTTCTGACACTGAAGCTGGGTCCTGCACACAATAATATCACTTAGGATATATGACAAAGACATGGTGCTGGTTATGCAGAAAGATATGCTTAACTACTCAAGGATATTTTTATGTGGTTCCAGACTAAATGTATGTCACAAAACCTTGGATCTATATCTTTACAGTAACTTTGTGTCATAAAGATACTTTTTCGATTCCTGGAAGCTTAACAGAAATGACACATCAGGAAAGCACTTTAACTTACATCCTACTTCTCCATGGCTTGGAATGTACTCCCTCCGTCCAGGTTTACTACGGCCCCTCTTATTTTGGGCTAAAATTTGACCATAGATTTAACTAATAAAATGTGAACTATATGTCACAGAAATTATACCATTGGAAACCTCTTTAGAATACAAATCAAACAATATGCTCTTTGTATCATATACTTCATATTTTGTTAAAGATTGTCAAAGTGACCCATAATACGAGGGGGGCTAATAAACCCGGACTGAGGGAGTATATAGATATTTCCTTTACCCAAAGTAGTTGCTTAATCAATTGTTCCCCTTTATCATCAGTGTTGTTCCAGGAATTCAAGTTGTCTCACATAAAAGATTGTAGTTGAATGCAATCTAGTAAAGGCCCCTTTGGAACAGAAGAATTCGGAGGGAAAATGGAGGATTACAATTTTTTAAAGGCTAGACCAAAAGAGAGGAAGCATTCATCGTAAATATGACAGCTATAGTTATGACCAACAAGCACCTGGCCAATTTGAGGAACCTCCATCTTCCACAAAATCGATCCTCTGATTGGATTAACCTGAACTCGATACTTAAGGCCTTTCTCTGCAAACCGTGTTAGAAGACTACCTGTTTGCAAAGGTCCAAATATCTCAGCAATAGAGAAAAATGGAGACAAAATCACGATAATTGAGACTAACTTGATAGTTTCATGCAACTAATTAATTGGCCAGGGTATAAGTATTAAAATACCTCCAACTGAGCCAGTTTCAATGATTGTTGAGTCAATCTCAGCAACAATAGATTTTAAAGCATGTTTTCCTGATTCCCAGTCTTCTTTTTCTTTTGCATACTTCTTCTGCTCTGCCTTTTGAGCTTTAATAGCCTCTTTCATGAGCTTATTTTCCTGCGAAGTAAACAGCACGCTCTTATATTCTGCACTCTCTATCATGCAACACGGTAAACATTGGTTTGTAAAATGCTTAACGAGACAGACCTCCCGCTGTCGTTTCTTTTCTTCAACCATTTTCGCTTTCCCTTCCTTTATTAGTCGCATCCTTTCCTATATAATGAAAGAGAGGTTTATTGCTGAAGTTGCATCTATTGTGAAACTTGAATTGAGAAGTTCGTTTATTGTCAGGCTTTGCTACTCAGCCAGACCTGCTTTGTGTTTCCTTGTTCTGTGTTGTCGTTTCGCTCCTCTTCCTGCATGGGCTCTTCACAGGGTAAAATCAAATTGTCTGATGGCTCTTTGTACCCAAAGTCATCCAGCTCATCATCACTGTCCAAAGATATCGGGGAAGAAGCTCCTGAAAAGGCACAAATTAGACTATTAGAGTTACTGCTCCTGCCTAGGTGAATCCAAGTTATAATGAGTCCAGAACATGCCACCATCTAGTAAATTAATTAATGGGGCGGCATAAGGCGCCTCCATATAAGAAATGGAGAATATAAAATTAAACCGCTCTAAGGCGCAAGAGCTGAAGTTCTTGATATTCGTGTGAATAAAAACTCATCTCTGAAGAAAACTAACACAAACAATATATTAGTTAGGGTTCGATACTACGAACTGACATGTTATCCAAAATATTAGTTGACATGAACTTGAGCGGTAGAGAAGTCACTTGTTCTACACGACCTGAAGGATCAAGATTATACCGTTCTCAATAAATAAAGATTGCATTTTGTTTTGCAGTTCGGAATTTCAAATGTTCTTGGGCTATTTAAGTCAGCAAAGGAATTTGCACCTTCTTGGCCTGTATCTAGAAGAGACGCTAAAACAAAAAAACAACTAACAAATCATCTCAAATTGCACAAAACAACACCTATCTTGTCAGTCTTTTCTAAAAAAGACACCCACTTTGCCTCTCATGACACAAAGCTAAATGCCTTGCAGCCTAAGCATGAGCACAACCAATTCCCATCTACTCCCTCCGTTCCAAAATAGATGACTCAACTTTGTACTAACTTTAGTATAAAGTTGAGACATCTATTTTGGAACGGAGGGAGTATCTTCTTGCCCCGTAGCAAATTTCATAGATGAAGCCAGTGTACACACTGCTCACTTCTTGGCAAGATAACCATTGTTCAGCTATCAAGCCTAAAATAAAAGGCAGCTACAAGCCTAGTTCTAGTTAAGAATTTCACCACAAGAATGTATTTGCAGGGGCGGCAGAAAAGAAACCTCGAAAAGTGGAGGGGCCTGCCACATCCAAGCGCGAGTTGGTGAAGAAACGTGTCTCAGCGTTGGGGCCAACAGATCCGGGGAACGCCGGCCCAGGGATCCCCAAATCAGCAGCGTCAAAGTCGAACGCGCGCGGTAGAACAGGCGTATTAGGAACAGCAGCACCACGGGACTGTGGGGCGAGTGAGCACGGAACGAACGACGGCGGAGTCCCGATTGGGACGCTGGAAGGCCCGGCCGGGCGGGAGGCGGTGAAGCCCGGGGTCTCCAGGACAAGAATGTCGGGGTCGGCAGAGCCGGGGGAAGCCGACCCGGGGATCCCCAGATCAGCGGCATCTTCGAAGTCGATATTGCGCCGGAGAACAGAATCAGGCGTGCGCGGACCATCGCCGCCGGAGCGGGGGCTGAGCGAGCACGGGACGGGCCCCGGGGAGGCCCCGACCCGGCGCACGGGGGTGTAGCCCGGCGTCTCCAGGACAACAATGTCCAGGTCGACAGATCCGGGGGCAGACCGCCCAGGGATCTGCAAAGCAGCGGCGCGGAACGGGCTCGGGAAGAAAGAACCGGGAGCGGCGGCGACGCGGGGGCGGGGGGCGAGCGAGCACGGGACGAACGACGGGGGGGTCCCGGTCCCGGGCGCGGCGGATCCGGGCTCCCGCCGCTTCGGCGGGGGAGGAGGCGTGTCATCGTCGATGCAGATGGGGGACATCGGCAGCCGGCGCTTGGGGAAGGCCGGGGAGGAGGAGGAGGCGTCGAGGAGGCCCCGGGAGGCGCGGGAGCGGGGGGCCGGGGTGGAGGCGGCCGTGTCGTCGTCGTCGTCCTCGAGCTCGACGACGGCGATGCGGGCGGCGGAGACACGCGAGGCCATGGTCGGCGCCAGGGCGCTGTCTCCCAGGGCGTCCTCCGGCGAACTCATTTCGGAGTGGGGAGTGGGGTGGGGAATCGAGGGTTTCCGCCGGAGGCGGGCGAGGGTTTCGGGTTTGGGGTGGGGTTTGCCGCAACGGGAATGCCGCGTCGCCTGAAGGTGTTCCTCATGGGCTGCATTTAGCGCGGCCCGTCAACCGGCACACTTTTTCCTCGTTTTTTAAGGAAAAATTGGAATTTCCGGGTGTGTGTTTCGACTAAAAAAAGAAAAGGGGAAATGGAGTTTCTAATAGGAGTATACCTCCTATAAACCAAAGTTTAATAATAGGAGAAATGTCCACGTGTAACCAAAAACTATGTTCATATATTTGAAAAACAATTGTGAAATGCTAATAAGATATTCATATATTTACAAAAATGAAACATATTAATGTAATAATATAGTTTTCATGTACAATAGAAGTAATATTCATGCATATGAGGAAGTACATGCATACATTTAACTGTTTATGTACTTTGAAAAAATATTCATATATTTTAAGAAGGAATACAAGGGAAGAAAAATAATTAGAATGAAATGATCAAATGTAAAACTTAAAAAAACAGAAAGGAAAGAAAACATTCATAAATGTACAACAAAAATTGAAAACAAACATAAATGTAAAACGTATTAGGCCAGCGCGCCAAAGAAATGTTTCAAGCGATACTCTCCTATGTTTCATGGGAGGGCATGTGAAGATTTGTTTCCGATTTGATCAAGTATTTTTGTTCGTCTGTGTTCATGTGTCTATAGGTTGGATCCTTTCGATCTAAACTTTCAATGATGGTGGTTGTTGTTCTAATGCGCTGGCCTATATGGCCTTAGCACGACGACTTTCTGGCTGTCTACTACAACAAGTTTTGCCCGGCTCCAGTGAGGGAGGGCGAGGCGGCGGCGCGCCTTCGGCTCGTTTCAGTGCGTGTAGTCATCGCTAGGTGGTCTATGGATCTAGATATATTTTTTGTTATTTCTAGTATTTGTTGTACTATCATGATTGATGATATGTAGATTGGAAGTTTTTACCCAAAAAAAAGCATAATGGATTTTGGATGCATTGCACAAGATGCTAGTTTGGACATTCTAGCCCGTTGTTTTCCTGTGCAGCGCGCACTCACAACACATTGTTTTATGATTCTAAAAAAAACATTGTTTTATTTTTTGTTTTGATCGTCCACATTCAAATGGTTACGGTATTAATGGGAATTAAAGTCTATATGTTTTGCCTCTGTCTGCTTTTAACCTTTATATGATGGATACTTTTTATATAGAGACATTGTGTTTTGACACAAATTGACTAGTCAGCCCTCCGCTTACCAGGTGGTGGGAACTTAAACATTTCATCGAGTGAGGTCGTTTGTAGGTCATTGTGAGTTTAAAAATCTTCTCACAAAAAAGGGTTTAAAATCAGGTTTCTTGGCCATGGCATGCTCACTGTTGGCCTTGGATTCTCGGGAAGATACAATAAATTAAGATTAAGTGGTAGGAATCAATGAGCTGGATTACTTTCTTTATAAATATATAGGTCTGGCACTTTCGAATTCGAATAAAACATCAACAATCGGAACTATCTCCCAGGACAACGAGGGACCACCATGCAAAACAACAAAAGTATTCCCAACTCCTCAGGTTTCATCTTGTGGTACCTCAGAATTCTTGAAACTATGAATTTCTTGTATATAAATCATATCGTAAGCTAGAACTTGCAAATCGACATCCATCTAAAAACGTGGTTGCATATTGTCATATTACATTGTGCATAGGTCAGGGATGCATTGAAGCCTTCCAAATCCAAATGTCACAACTTTTTCAATAATATTTCAAAAAGATAAAAGGATTTACAAAAATAAGAGCAAATATATACTCCTAAAGAAAAATAAAAGAAAAGAGAAAATGTATTGTCACTTTTGTCCCTTCCCTTCTTCTCTTGAGCAAAAGGAGGCTCAACATAAATTTCATTTAAGGAATCACAATCATTTTACAAGACCATCACATACACATTCCTTGCATCAAAATAAATTGGCATTCTTCCTAGAGAGCACCAAAACATAAGCAGATGGAAACCGGATCCTCTGACTTGGAGGAGGCAAGTCAGTCTACAATTCACTCTCTGTATAAAATGAGGAAGGCAAATCAGAGGAACATGAATCGATATAGATTAATTATTCTTTATAGATCACTGTAGATAAATATGCTTACAAATCATCATATTAGAACGCGGGCTATGAAAATCAAGCCAACGGAAGTCAGGGCATCCCTAACTTCCCTCCCAAAGTTAGAGGATCTGAGTCCATGCTGATGTTAGGGGAACGAGGCAATGGCTAAGGATGCATTTGGTATACTGCATGGATTTTGAGCCCTTTGCATCTATGGCCTGACTCAGAGAGGCTGAATGGAAACAGGCAAAAAACAATATTCTGCACATAGTTTGTTTGCATACGTCCCTTCCAGTCTAGTTGAGCAGAAACACACACAATGGTGTTTGGTTGTAAGTTTGTTCTGTGTAGATGTAAAGTTTTGTTTGGTTACATGCAAGACTTGTGATCTTAGAGTGGTGGGGTTACCAGCACACAAACATGCACAACATAGGAAATTAATAACATGCATGGCGTAAACCAGTCTTACTCATATGCAATTAAATTGACGAACAGTTGCAGGAAAGTCTTAAACTAAACATCCAGCAGAAAAGTCTTAAACAGAGGTAACACCCAAACGATACATGGTAAATGCCTCGCAGTGCTCCTTGCACCTGGTCACCATACCAACGTTGTTGTTGTTGAAGACAATCCCTTCAAGGTGTCGGGAGTCACTAACTTAAAGGAGACGGGTACCTGATCTTGATTCGGTGAGCAACGACGAAGGGGAACAAACCCTTAGCAAGGGTGAGCCTATTGTTCATCATCGGGATCGCGCAGCTAGTGTTCATCTTCTACATAAATTCTGGCGGGACATGATACGTCTCCAATGTATCTATAAATTTTGATTGTTCCATGTTGTCATATTATCAATCTTGGATGTTTTACATTTATTTTATAGCAACTTTATATCATTTTTTGGGACTAACCTATTGACATAGTGCCCAGTGCCAGGTGCTGTTTTTTGTTTGTTTTTTACTTTGCAGAATATCCATATCAAATAAAGTCCAAATGCAGTGAAATTTTTTGGGGATTTTTTTGGCCTAGAAGACAACTTGGGAGCCAAGGAAGTGCAGGAGGGGAGGCATGTGGGGCCCACAAGGCACCTGGGCGCGCTAGAGGGCCCTGGGGTGCCCTGGTGGGTAGTGGGTCCCACGGGTGCCCTCTCCACCGCCTCTCAGCTCTATAAATACCAAAATATTCCAAAAACCCTAGGGGGAGTTGACGAAACACAATTCCAGCCGCCGCAAGTTCCAGAACCACGAGATCCAATCTAGAGCCGTATTCCGGCACCTTGCCGGAGGGGAAAACGAACACAGAGAGGGGTTCATCATCCTCATTGGTGCTCCTCCGATGATGCGTGCGTAGTTTATCACAGACCTACGGGTCCATAGGTAGTAGCTAGATGGCTTCTTCTCTCTCTTTGTAAAATCTTCAATACAATGTTCTCCTGGATGTTCTTGGAGATCTATTTGATGTAACTTTTTGCGGTGTGTTTGTTGGGATCCGTTGAATTGCGAGTTTATGATCAATTATATCTGTAAATACTATTTGAGTCTTCTTTGATCTCTTATATGCATCTTATTCCACCAATGATGACTCTGCAACCCAAGACTCTGCCGCAAAAGCTTCAAAGCCAGTTCCTCAAGCCACTGCTCCATGAATGATGATAGATCGTGAGCTTATTCTAAGTCTTCATCAGAAGTTCGATCGCAATCAAAAGTGGGTCAATCGTCGGTTTGGTGCAATTCTTCAGAACATGACTGTCACGCAAAACACTGTGAAGAAGAATCACTACTACTTGCATGAAGTCTTCGACCGCTCTTGGGCTATTCTGTCTCACCTATATAGTGAAGAAGATCTCAAGCAAATGGGCTTCCAATAGGACTTTGACTGGTCTCAGCCACCTTCGAAGAAATTTAAGAAAGTCAAAGTTCCTCATCTGGTTACAAGTTCATATTCTTCATCGCGTGAGACGGATGAAGCTGAAGATTTGAACGACACTGCGGCATGCCATACATCAACGGACGACCCCAACAACGTTGGCGCTCTTCCATCGACATCATGATGATTTTCTTCTGGGGCGTTAGTCCTCATTTTTCGTCCCTTTTGGTCATTTGATGAAAAAGGGGGGATTTGAGTTAGTCTTCAAGCAGGTCTTTTATATGGGCGTTTTTTCGTTAAGTTATAACTCTTGCTCTTCTTAGGTGTTTGCTCTGATGAGTTGTAAACTTAAGTCCTATGATGCTCTGATACTGTTGTCTGCTTTCTGCATTCTTATTTCCTCAAGTACCTTAATGCACGCATGTTGAATTTCGTCAGACACCATATTTCATCACGCATTTCAAAATCTTCATGTTATATGTCAAATGCGTGTATGAATTACAAGATATAGGGGGAGATCTCCATGATTTTACTCTACAATGTGCATTTGCTATCCAAAGAAAATTCCTCAAATATGCACATCTTCAGGGGGAGTTCTTCTATATCTTGCAATCAAATTCCTCAATATTAGTATTTACACTTTATATGTTTATCCCCATTGAAAACTTAACCTATTTGTCATCAATCACCAAAAAGGGGGAGATTGTAAGTGCATCTAGTGCCCCTTAGTGATTTTGGTGTATTGAAGACTTATAGGTTAAGGGACTAATGTGTTTGTGAGTGTACACATGTTCTAGAAGTCTATGAGGAGTTTGATATTTACAATGAAAGTCGAGCCCTAAAAATGAATGTCTTCACTTGAAGACTATGGTTTTCTTGAAGACTTTGAAACTGAGAAAATTTGTGTGACCTTGAAGACTTTGGTATTAATGCGAGGACTATGAAGCGTGAAGAATTTTGTTTTCATAGTTTTATTTTCTCTTTCTTGAGTCATAG